AAGTGGTGGAGTCTACCCATGCTGAGTCAGCAGTCCCCGTCCCAGTCAGTCCTAGTCCAGTCAAGCAAGTACCGTACGGGACTGTGTGCACCACGAGCATGGGAAAGGGCCAGACCGACGAGCTACAGAAGTATTAATAAAGAGGCAGCGCCTAGCTATTCATTCATTCCTTTGTAAGCCATACGGAAGCGCTGCCACAACGACTTGTGCAAGGAGGTCTGGGGTAGGCCCAAAGACGAAGTGGGCGAGAAGGAAGCTTAGCCATAGCGATAGGGTAGCATCGGCCATAGCTGCCATAGCCGATAGGAGAGAGAGTGGCATGTGTGAGTGTGCGAGTGTACAGTGTGTTGCATGTGGGATATCCAGGGTGATCCTGTGTGCGAACAACAGTGTTGAGCAAGTGACGAACAGAGAGTTGTATAGGCGCTGATGCGCCATAGCCATCCGAAGTGAAATTGTATTTGAACTGTGTTCCGGGTTTCCATATCTCTGAGTTTGAAGTGGGCGCTTGTCGCCAGTTTGCTGTGCAACCTGTTTGCATGCATGTGAAGGTGAAAGAAAGTGAGTCTGATTGCACTGGTGTTGAAGTTCAAACAAAGGTTGTCTTGAAACAGGCCCAAAATGGCCTGTGCTAAAACCCTGGTCTAGTGCCTAAGTTTCAAGGCAGGTCGACTTTATGAGGGCCTGAAAATGGCCCTTGTTTTCAGGCTTTTAGGCTAAAACGACATAGGGCCTGTAGGCCCTTGTTTTCAGGCTTTCAGGCTGAAACGACAAAGCCTGAAAATGACACAGGGCCTGTAGGCCCTTGTTTTCAGGCTGTCAAGCTGAAAACGACCCAGGGCCTGTAGGGCCCTTACTTTTCCTTGTTCGGTCGGGCCTTGCAGGCCCATGTGGATGCGCAGTATACCTCACCATGTTTGCAGATGAGTATCCCGCACAATAGAACCTAAATAATCAGAACTTCATAAGTTAATTCCATGGACTCAACCACAATTTGGCCCACAAAATTACAGCAAGAAAAAAAGAAATAAAAATACATAAAGAGTCAGAAATTCTACATAACGATTTTTCAATTTCTATTATTTCTGCAATCAGAGTTGCTTTCATTCACACTTTACATGCATGCAAACAGTAGCACAGCAAACTGGCGACATGCGCCCACTCAAACTCAGAGATATGGCAACCCAGATAAGAGTTCACTTCCAATGGCGATGACGACGCAGCGCCCAAACAACTCACTGTTCACATACAGCGGATCACCCTGGATATCCCACACGCGTCCCTCCGAACACTCACACATACACAGATACACTTCACACTAACTCTAGCTATGGCGGCTGTGGCCGCAACTAGCCTATCGCTTTGCTACGCTCCTTCTCTCTCTCGCCGACTTCGGCTCCGGGCTCACTGCAGACCTCCTTGCACAAGTCGTTGTGGCAGCGCTTCCGCATGGCTCGCGCAGGAATGAATGAATGGTTGGGCGCTGCTTCTTGATTTATACTTTTGAAGCTCGTTGGTCTGCCCTTTTCCATCGGCCTTTGGTGCTCATAGTCCCTCGTGGTACTTGCTGGACTGGACTGGGACTGACTGGACCTTACCGCTGACTGAATGGGGACTCGCTGCTATCCTACTGCTACCATACTGCGGACGTTCTGCAGCTGGTACAACACTTGGCTCACCACTTGCTCACTTGCCCACTTGCCGACCTTCTAGAAGGCTACAACTAAGACTTCTAGACTTCACTAAGACTTCTATTCGACAGACCTACAGATCGAACCCCTACAACCTACGACAGCCTATCAACTCTTACAAATACACAGGTAATGGGTTCAACTCTACGGGTCGACACAGGTAAGGTGAGGACTAGGGATCGAGCCCTGGGATCTGCGTCTGCTACCGCAAAAAGGTGAAAACCGTTTCACTCCCTCTGTCCTAAATTCGAGGTACTCCGATAATATTTTAGTCCATATTTACTGAATCTATCAACTACGACCATGACTTGGCTCTTGCCGTGCCTACTCTTGACACTGGCATCCATAAAGTCAATGGAGACTGAATCTCCCGGTTGGTCTGGGATAGGCAAGGGTCTGAGAAGACCTAGAGGGGCACTCATAGTGGTTTTGTTCCTCTGCCAAACTTTGCAACTCCGAACATACTCTATGCAGTCAGCTTTCATTCCTGGTCAGGTGTACGCACGCATCAGATTGGCTAAAGTCTTCTGCCAACCAAAGTGTCCCTCTGTGTCATGGCATTCCCCTAGGATCAGACTACGCATCTCTTCGCTGTTGGGAATGCATACACGGTCTACTAAATTAGTCTTCTCAAACAATAGCCCCTCAGTAGTGCGGTAGTCTGGTTCGGTCTCAGGGGCCTCCTTAACTCTCTTGAGGAGGTCACTATAGATAGGGTCCTGCGCATACGCCTGTCGGACTTTCTCTTGGAGGCCGTTTCCTATGTCCAGATAGTGCACTATAGCTCCAAAGTAGTCTGATCTCCTACTTGGAGCACCCGCAACTACGTTGTACTTGCTTTTGACCGGTTTGAGCTCGAAGTCATACTGGTCTATCTCAACGGCCCACCTAGTCAACTTATGTGTCATTTTGGCCTGGGTCTTTAACCATCTAAGCGTCTCATGGTCAGAATATACTTTGAAGTGCCTCCCAAGCAGATAATGCTTCCAGTGCTCTAAAGCCTCCCTGAGAGCATAGAGTTCCCTCTCGTACGTCGAGGTAGCAACCTTTTCTGAGGGTATCGTCGCTGACGTGAACTCTATGGGTTTGTAGCCATTGTCGTCGTCTTGCTGCAACACGGCACCTATACCATACTGACTCGTGTCCGTGGTGACGACAAATGGCAAAGACGGATCAGATACTTTAAGGACAGGATACTCTATTAACGCGCGCTTCAGTCTCTTTAGCGCAGACGTACAATCTTTGTCCTATTGCCAGATTGTCCCTTTCTTAAGCAACCTGCGCAAGGGAGCGGCGATAGTAGAGAAGTTCCTCACGAACTTTCTATGGTAGTTAGCTGGGCCTAAGAACGACCGCAACTCTGTCAATGTGCGGGGCGTCGACCACTCTCTAATTGCCACTATCTTGTTGTCCTCTGGCTGAATGCCATCTCTGTCCAACACGTGGCCCAAGTACAAGACTTGTGTCTTGGCCCACTCGCACTTCTTCGCGTTAATCTTGAAGTTAGCTTCTCTCAGCTTCTCCACGACTTGCCTCAAATGACCCTGATGCTCCTGGAGGGTCTTGCCGAAGACTAATATATCATCTAGATAAACTACTACAAACTTATCTAACCAAGGTCTAAACAAATCATTCATACAACGCTGAAAGGTGGCTGACGCGTCGGTTAGTCCAAAGGGCATCACTATGAACTCATAATGCCCATATCTAGTCCGGAACGCAGTCTTGTACTGGTCATCAGGATGGACCTCTATCTGATGATATCCTCATTTCAAATCTATCTTAGAGAAATACTTACAACCCTGCACCCGATTTAGAAGATCGTCTATCCTGGGCAGCGGTTTAACATTCTTTACAGTAATCACATTCAAACCCCTATAGTCTATACACATACGAAGCTCTCCTTCCTTCTTGGGGACAAACAGGACAGGTGCTCCAAAAGGAGATGAACTGGGCCTGATCCAACCTTTCTCGAGGAGCTCGTCTAACTGCTTGCGTAGCTCCTCTAACTCTCTAGGGGACATCNGTGCTCCAAAAGGAGATGAACTGGGCCTGATCCAACCTTTCTCGAGGAGCTCGTCTAACTGCTTGCGTAGCTCCTCTAACTCTCTAGGGGACATCATGTAGACAGCTCCCTTAGGAGTCCTACTGCCAGGCTCTATCTCTATCCTTTGCTGGATGGGTCGCGACACTACTCCTGTCGGCGACTCAGTAAAATCTTTGAATTCCTCCAACAACTTGGCAATGGTTGGGTCTGTGGAACTATCTCCTTCCTTAGCCTCAGTGATAGGCCTCGCATACACTACGAAGACCTAATCCTCTAAATGCTCCTTTTTCACTCGTGACGCGATCGCGGGAGCACTGAGACAGCAATGTGCCAAGGTGTTATCTACACCTGACACATGAAACAGGCGGGCAGTCTTAACCTCGCCTGACGGACTAGGGAGCCTACACTCATGCTCTCTCAAGTGGAGTGTGGCCCCTGCTGCCTCTCCCCAATCCATTCCTAACACTATGTCGAAAGGAAGGTCATCATGAACGCGGAGAGTCAGGGAATGGAGAACTTTTTCCACCCTCCCATCTTTCTCTAGGCGAAAGTACGCCTGGACTCCCTCTACGTAGTCCTCAAGTCGCATCGTGCGGTTGTCTGCGAGGACACTGACTGTGGGGTCTGCTCACTTTTGGACTTTTAATCCTAGCCTCAACTTCTTCAGCGCCCTACGGCTAATGTAACTGCGGGTAACCCCTGAGTCTATAAGGGCCCCTACTCTGCTTCTAAACACTTCTACATCTACCAAGATCAGTTGTCCCTTACTCTCCTTCTTCATTTTGGCCCAGGCTGGCATCCTCTCCTTCAACTCTTTTGCCACACCTGTGAGGGATGTGCCTAGAGAGACTCTAACACAAGCAGTCTCTGGACAACTAGCTAGGCACGGGCCTGCAACCTCTGCCATAGGCTCATGTGGTTTGGGCGTTTCATGTGTGCGCGCGCTCTCTTCCCCACATGGCCTTGAAGTAGGGGGAGTTGCGACCCCTACTGGCGGCTGCCTTTTGACTGTTGGGCAGCCCATCGGGTCTGTCTATACTTAAGACAAAATTTAATTACATGGGTCAGGTCACCACAGAATACGCACTAACCCAAGTCCACACGTTCCTGCCATACGCGCTGGTCCAAGCCCAAATCTTCCCAAGGCCTGCCTTGTGGCAAGCCTGGGTGCCATCCTCCTCTCTATTGAGGTGGCTTTCCTCCTCGCCGTTGTGGGGACCGACAAGAACGCTGACGATTTGGCGGGGGACCTTTACCCCTACCTCCCACTTGGCGGTTCCCTTGTCCACCAACCCCCTGTGCGCCCGGTCCTCGACCTCCCATGGCCTGGCCCTTTTGGCGCTGGCCTCCTCCTCTACCTTGCGGCCTCCCTCCAGCCGCGACAACCGCATAAGACCTCCCCTGCCCTATGCTGCTGTCATCCTCCTCTAACCCCCACTCAATCTCACTGTAGGGGATCTCATCTCTACCACCCTCTTCTAACGTGAGGATCATATGATCCTTGGCCCTCACTTGGCCAGAGATGGTACGACCCTTCCACTTCTTTCCTTTGTCCAGGTCCTTGTGCCAGAAAGTGGACACTGGCATGGACTTTGACTCATACAGGACCACTTCTCTACTCAGCACATCATAGGTGATGTCAGCCTGTTGAGACTTCTCAAAGAAATGCCCACGCAGGGGCTCAGGCATGGCACGATAAAACAATTGGACCAACTGGGGCTCAGTGACCCCGTGGTCTGGGACGACTACCAAGTCGTCCACAATGCCCTTTAGTGCTCTTGCACTCCTCCACTGTCGCGAGTGGATCGTCTGTAACTTATCAGAGGCTCTAACGCCTCTCGTTGGGTCAGCAAATCTCTCCCTCAGGACTTTGAAGAATTGAGGAAGGGTGATGATCTTAGAATATGCAACCATGTTATTTTCACAACTGGCTGCGCGCGCAAGAGATCTGGCAAAACTGGGCGCTTCATCCTTAAGGCCCTGGAAGGCGACGAGGACTTGCTCCTCAGTCAGGATGTGCTGTAAGTATACGTAACTGTTCACACTAGCCTCCCAGTTATCAAAATTTTCTTCCTTCTTCCCTCCATACGCATCTGTGAGTTTAAGCTTAAAAGGCTCCTTACGAGGCCTGGCCTCACCCTCTACAAGGGCTATTGCTTTGGCACCTTCGATGGCGCCCTCACAGAACTTCCCCGTGCTGTCTCTTAGTCGCCTAACTTCGCCTCCAACATGGGTGACCATATCGCGCGCAAAATCTCTAAATCCTGACCGCATGGCACTCAGGGCCACATCCTGACCCCTATTGGCTTGGCGCTCCTCCATCCAGGCCGCACTCAACACTTCCAGATACCCCAACACCTTATCCATCTTGGCAGAAATGTCTGGCTACGCCTGCACCTCTTGTCTACAATCTCTCATTTTTGCCACCTTCTCAGTCAGCCTATGAACTTCGTCCCTCCTCCTCTTCTTTTCCCTCTTCATCCTCAGTTTCCACTCCAACTTCTTCTCTTCTTTTCTTTCTCGTCGTCCCTGAGGGTCCTCCATTGCTGCTAGCTCACTGGCTAAAGCATCCCTCTCGTCCTGGGGCACATAAAACTCTGCCTCCTCATCTTCCCCCAACGATAAATTAGCAATCCACTCACTGATTTTCTTCTCCATTGCGGCGTCCTCATTCGCTGTGCCACTACTCTCTCCTTTTACTTCCCTGCGTTTCCTTTCCTCTTCTGCTTCTGCTACCGTTTCTTCTTCAACATCCTTCTTCTTTTTCTCCATCTCCTCCTCCAATTCCTTCATCTTCGCCGCCTGCTCCTCTGTGATTGCCTTTAGCTTCGCCTGTTTCAGGAACTTTTTCCTCTCCTTATTCTCTCTTACTAAGGCGGCCATCTTCTCTTGTTGCTCCTGGGTGTAGGGGCTAGTGCTCTTCCCTGCACGGGTCTCAACCATGATGTCAAGTGCACAACTGGATTAACGGTTCCAAACCTCACCACGTAGACTCTAACCCCTAACTGACAAACCTACTGACTCAATCTAAGAACTCACAGAATCCGGAGAGGGATCCTGCCATCTAGGGTCTGTAGCCTAGACCTAACTATGGCTGTCACTAGTAGACCTGTTGCTGATCAGGAGGCATTTAAGGAGATCCCCCGTAACTCCTCAGGAAATATTTAACGTCGCAGACAGGACTGCTTGTTGCGCAGCCCACAACTCAGCCTTTCGGGCCTACCGTGCCACACCGAGCAGCCCGCCAGTTTGCACCAGTCCTTGGGAGGGTTCGTGTCCTCCGGGACAGTCGACTCGTCAGACACAGTCTTTAGCCCTACTTGGTCCGGCAGGGTTTGGTCAACAAGGCCTATCCTTCATCCACAGAGTATTATCACCTAGACAGAAGAGACTCGATGTAGAAAGAAGAGACAGACAGACTGGACTCAACAAGTACCACAGGGTGTGTGCACATCCATAGGGCGAGGGATAGGCTGAAGGCTTGGCGAGATTTTACCGGCTCCAGCTTGGTCAAAGTCTTGGTCAACGCCTTAGTCAATGCTCGGTCAACGCTCGGTCAACGCTCGGTCAACGCTCGGTCAACGCTCCGATCAACGTTCCGGTCAACCCCCGGTCAACCCCGGTCAACTCCCGGTCAACGCCGGTCAACTCTTCTAGTCGGCTATGGCTGCGAGCTTCACTTTCCCTCACCAACCTCCCTCTTCTCTTCACCCTCCTCGCCTCCTTTCGCCCCGACTGTCTTCTTCTTCTCTTTTTTTTTTTTTTTTTTTTTTTTTTCTCTCCTTCCTCCTCGGCTATGGCTTCCCTCTCTTTCCTCGGTCTCTCCCTCTATCTGGTCTCTCTCGCTCTACTCCGTGGTCAAGCTCCGCGGCTATGACCGCAATCTTCTTCTTCGCGGGATCGCGCGGCACGCTTCACAGGTCAGTGACAACCAAACTTGTATCACTCATCTCTCTCTCTCTCTCTCTCTCAGACCACGAGACGTTAAGGTCTACTCAGACCACGAGACATTAAGGTGGTTGAAGACGCAGGCCAATATGACACCTAAGCTTACTAGGTGGGCCGCAGAGTTAGACCAATATGACTTTGAGCTTAAGCCAGTCAAAGGGAAGTATAATGTAGTTGCCGATGTTGTGAGTAGGAGAGCTGACTACTTTGGAGCAATAGTTCATTATCTGGATATAGGGAGAGTCCTGCAACAGAAAATTAGAGAGGCGTATGCGAAGGACCCTATCTATGGTGACCTCCTCAAGAAAGTAAAGGAGGCCCCAGAGTCCGAACCAGACTACCACACTACTGATGGGCTGCTATTCGAGAAGACTAACATAGTTGACCGATTGTGCGTTCCTAACAGTGAAGAGATCGGTAGTTTGATCTCAGGGGAATGCCACGATATCGAGGGACATTTTGGTTGGCAAAAGACTCTAGCTAACCTCATGCGTGCCGACATATGGCCTGGAATGAAGGCCGACTGTATAGAGTATGTTCTCAGTTGTAAGGTCTGCCAGAGAAATAAGACCTCTACGTGTGCCCCTGTAGGTCTTCTCAGACCCTTGCCTATTCCTGATCAGCCAGGAGATTCAGTGTCCAGTCACTTTCTGGACACCCATGTCAAGAGTAGGCACGGAAAGAGCCAAGTCATATATTCAGTAAATATGTTGTTTTTGTTCCTTTGCCTTCAGAGGTGCACACATAATTAGTCATTCAGAAGTTCTTTGATCATTGGGTCAGTGAACACGGGATTCCACTGCCTATAGTTAGTGATAGAGACACCCGGTTCACTAGTTAGAACTGCCAGGAGTTGATGAGAGTCTATGGCTCCAAGTTGCTAATGTCATCTGACCGTCATCCAGAGACTAACGGTCACACTTAACAAAGGAACAAGATCCTGCAGCAAGTTCTGCGAATGTACATTAGACCAGAACAAATCAATTGGGACGAGATGTTGCCCAAGGTAGCCGGTGCCTCTAACAATAGCGTGCACTTGTCCACCTGCCGCACTCCCAATGAGTTGCACAAGTCCTTTAAACCACGTAGACGGTTTGAGGGACTTAACCGGGACCAGATGATCCAGATCCACAGGCTACCGCCCAGTACTAGGGAGTTTGCGTTACAGCACGAGAAAGAGTTAGCTACCGTCGTAGAGAACCTCAGGAAGGCCCAACACCGAATGATACAACAAGCAAATAAGCATCGTCGCCCGTCACAGTTGCAAGTAGGCGACCTGGTCTGGGTCAAGTCCAAAGAGTTTGCTCCTGAGGAAAACATCTCGCAGAAGTTATTGCCCGCGTATAGAGTATCGCGGCCAGTTCTAGAAGTTAAGGGCAGAGAGGATGGGCCGTCCTACACAGTAGAGATCCCAGCACACCTCCACAGCTATCCTGTGTTTCATGCTTCAAAGCTGTTGGCGTGTGTCACAAGCCAACAGTTCCCATCTAGAAGATCCATGATCCCGTCAGACATGGACGAAA